TTCACATAAACACGATAATCGTAACGCTATTTAATTTACCGCTTAATCAATTATACGATATCCATAGATAATAATAAATCTGGGGTAAATTGCAAGCTTTTGCAATATCAGTGAAAGCGAAGTAAAATTAATAACACTTTATTTACATCACAATAACACAAAACAGGAGAAAAGATTAAATAATAAGACAAAGGATGTAGATGGTCGGTCTTACTCCTTTAAGCAGTTTCTTCCAGACAACCCAAACATACATAAAATAAACATATAAAACACACTACAGAACTTAAAACTACTCAATATAAAAATGTATTTATTGATTTATTAACACTTCGTTTCATTAGGAAATATAATACAATTGACATTATTAAATGAAAAGGAGCTAGCAGCCTTATCGCTTACGAGCGATCTCTTCCAGGCAACCACTGTGAGAAAAACAATTAGATAAGGTAAGCGAGAAGTGCAAAAATACATAAGATATATATATATAGCTGTTTAGACAAAAGTAATGGAACAAAACAAATCAATTAAAACATATGCAAACAGTGATCAGGACAATATTAAAAACAAGAAAACAGATAACAAAGGTTTATTGGTATAATACAGTACATCAGTAAAGAAAATAATTTAGATTATAGTACCCTCAACATGTTATAAGATAGGCCTAAAACACAATTTCAATTGGATTAAGGTTGGATTAGCATAAATACAATAGTACGGTATTTTGTCGTTCTGAATAGACCTGGTCAGACATCGTCGATGCGAGCTTAGGTGTATGTTTTCCTTTAAGCTGTATTACGCAAATATCTATCCTATAAATGAGAGTTGCAAATACACAAAATGAACAACGCACGTTAATTCACACCGAACGATATGGATTTTCGCACTTATTAACGACACGGAAACTCCCATGAGAAATACAAAATTCGTGTGGGGCGTAAAATAGGGGTTCCGAAGGATATGTGTAGAATTATCGTAATACGAAAAATTATAGTTTCCCTGTGTCGTCACCAGATTAATCTCTCTCATTGGTTTATTTATAAAAATAAAATAATTAAATCAGAGGTTTACAACCTCGTTAGATATGGGCCTTCTGTATCTGTTTCATGATCATTTGCCAATCTAATAGGCAAGTAGGTGATCAGCTTCCTGTGCCTGACACTTGCCGTCGACTTTTTGATGTTTCACGATGTTTTCCTTCACCGTTCGAGCGAATGTTAAATGCGCACATAGTATGAAAGTGCTAACTGCATTATAGAATTCGCATGCATTATAATTGACTTTAGTATTCGTTGGAATTTGTACACTGGTGTATTTCATGAAAGCGAGGAACCATTTATCTATTCATAAGTCAGACGGGATATACTGCCAACGAGTATGAATTGCAGGTTGCCCCAGGTCGGCCCGACGTTCGGATCGTAACTTATTCATAGTTTGTTCAAAGCGCCTGAGGGTTGCAGTCAGAGGGGGTTAATGACCGTATGACGTCATCCTCCCTAGTTACAGCTGGTCATGACGTCATGCTATCAAAACAAAACTTACTCTAAATCCTCAATCACAAGATTCAATCTGACACAGATATGTGAACCACATGTCCTGTAGGATGTGGTCACATGATCTCATTTTAATTTGACTTTAGCGGGAACGAAAAAAAGGTAACAACAGCTGTCAACAAAAAACAGCTTCATATAAAACCTATATTTCATGTCATACCTTTTGACTCACTTCCTTTGTGAAGTGATTAATTACGACCGTCAAATACCAAGTACGTAGTGGTATAGCGGGATCAAAAACATCAGGACACTTATCACTACGACATTAGTCACTTACCAAATTCTTTCACTCACAACATTCTTCATGCAACTGTTTCTAATGACGACAACGTTAATAGTCTGGGAAATCTAGTCCACAAAGCGGTGTTTACCGTGCACAGTCAGATTAGAACGAAAGATAGCCCAAACAATGGATGTAACAGATCTGATATGCAAATAGAATGCAACAATGATATTTCAAAACTTTAATGATGAAGACGGGCGGTAATTCTACGGAATCGCCGATGACTAAGGCATCTGCCCGGTATTTGAATTAGCCACTTACAAAGCAATATCTTGTTTGATCAACGTTTAGATTAAACCACTTAAATTTGATTAAAATAGATAGCAAAGAACGCCGAACGAATGTAAATAAAAACAAAATATGCGCTACTAATATGAGTTTTTTTTTTAATTCATTATAAATATAAAAGCTATAGAGCAGTGTTGGCCTAGTGGCTTCAGCGTGCAACTCTCATCCCTGAGGTCGTAGGTTCACACCCCGGCTGTGCACCAATAGACTTTCTATGTGCGCATTTAACATTCCCTCGAAAGGTGAAGAAAAACATCGTGAGAAAACCGACATGTCTTAGACCCAAAAAAGCCAAACGGCGTGCGTCAGGCACAGAAGGCTGAACACCTACTGGCTGCACCTATTAGATTACCAAATGATCATGAAACTGATTCAGAAATCTGAGGCCCAGACCTAAAAAGGTTGTAGCATTGATTTTTTTTTCTATAAAAGCTGCATTGTCAGCGGGCATATTACAACTACCAATATTAGCGGTATCAATAATAAATGTTTGTATAACGGTAAAATGATACACGAGACGGGATATACCTCAATGTGTTCTTAAAGTTCGGCAGGATATAAAACACTTATAATACTCAATACGCAATAACATATATAATGTACATTGTACAACTCAGGAGAACTTCTTAAGCGATTTTTATGAAACTTCATACTAAACAATTTCTTTACTAAATTTTAAATGAATGATTGAAAGTAGTCATTTATTTTTTTAATATTTTTAACTTGTAATTTTGACTTTCAAGTGCCTTTTTAATAGGCCTAATTGAAATAAATGATTTGACACTGACTTTAGACTTTGAATGTGAAATAAAAAATTACACCCTTACCACCACCACCCTTCTATCATCAACCCCAATTTATTAATAGCGATATTAGTCTAATAGCAAAACAGTCCATTTCACTGTCCTACAGGTGTTATATGTAAAAAAAATAAGTCGAAAATTTAAATGAGCTAAAGTTTAAAGGTTGTAAAATATTGATTGATTGCGGCCTATGTGTGATGGACACATATCGGCCACTAACGATCACAGACCTCTCAGGTTGCCTGCAAGTGACATTTCAATGTGACATGCATTATGTATTGTCTAGTTAGTAAATAGAGAACATATAAATCACGGCTTTAAAATATGTGTCGTATTCAAATTGGCAAAACGTTTCAGTAGATGATGTCAAGGGCCTAAACCAATCTTTATAGGAAAAAATACTAGACGCGGAGTTGACAACCTCCTTTGGGTTACTTTTAAGTCGGTTAAAATTTTTAACTGTATTCAGTAGGTACGAACGAAAGCGTTCCAATGTTAGCTGAAAAAAACTACATTTTAGCGATAGTAAAAATCATTTGACTAATAATTTAGTACATACTATTCATTTATAAGTTAACAAAATAACAAAGAATAATATGAGTAAGAAAACCTTTAAGATAAAACAAATGAATTCATAATGAAGAACATTAAAATTAAGCACCTAATTTCTTAATTAATTTGAATATAACTAAAATAGGATTCCTAACTTAAGCAACATAAACTAACCTTTTACATATACTTAGTATAAAACTGTGATGTCTACTGTACATAATTCAATGTAAAAAAAACGCCCGAAAGAATCATATTCATTGTGAAGCCGTACGAGATCTTGTAATTTTTTTAACTAAGTAATATATATCATTCCTGTTCGTACCTTCCTGGATCAAGTCCAGGAGGTACTAGAGAAGGGACAAGTTAGAAGTACCCATAACCGATGAGCATGCATGGTCATGAAAGTGGATGAAGCAAGAGAGGTATATCAGGACCGTAGGAAGAGATTTTACGCCCAATAACTAACAAGATAATTTTAAGTTTCTTTAGATACATAAAGGAAGGTGGTCTCCGAGTATGGAACAAGCTATCAAAGTTCAAAACCAATGGAAAAGGCACGGAGCGGATCTGGATCTATTACATCTTTAACAAAAGTCCCGAATTATCAGTGCATAAGGAACCAAAATGTCACATAGAAGTCTTAAAAATTCATTAAATTTCGTTAGTGCTACATAGGCATACCGTTTATAAATTTGAATAAATAGAAATGTTTCCGGCTTAATCTCACTCATATTTTTTACATCAGAATAATGAGACCGTTATTCTAATTGAGACTTGAATGTTTTCCACTCTAATTAGATCCAAATTAGCATTATTAATTTGAAGAAAAGATTCGCTATATTTAATTGAATTTTTTGTTGAAATCTTTTATTAAAACTTTAGTTAAAACATAAATGCCAATAGAAAACCTGAAATTTAAAAATCAATACTGTATAAAAGCTTTCAGAGGAATTTCTGCAAATAAATCGTGGTTACAGCAATTTAAAAGGAATTTGCCACAGTATCGCCGAGACCATAGAAAATTCACTACGGGCTAGATAAAACGTGCAGAATAACGCTTTAATAATCCCATTTCCACGCTCGAGGTTCGTAGACCTCGCGTGTTACCAACTCATCGGCCATCCTTAATTAGTCTAATTGAAACACGAATTCAAACCATAACCATCAATTTTCTATTATCTACCTCCAGATAAACTTTCCTATATTTTCTTATCCGCAGCGAACCGGCATTTCACAAGCTTCGTAAGGCGATCAAAGATATTTGATTACCCACATTTTATAAACAAAAAGATGCCAATCTCAAAGTGAAATCTAATTTATAAGTCCTATTGAAATCCCTCTATAACGTGGTGCATTTTTGAACACAACACACACTTCGACTAAACCACGACTCACTGTATTCAGAAATACACCACCATAAGAGGTTATAGAAAAGCCGGCCGGCGTCATGCCGGTGGGCGCGTGGGCGTACCGGCATAGGTAACTCACATGCAAGCAACGGGGTTCAATCGCCGCTGGCTGGTGCTAGGTAAATTGCAAATGCACTAGGATCGCGTATCGGACCGCGTTGGCCGCTCGCACAGGCGGTGTCTCGGGGACTGGCGTGGCGCGCTCGCAGTACGGAGCCCGAAGCACCCCGCGCGCCGCCCCTCTGTCGCCCCTGCGCCCTCCAGATGCTGTCGGCTCGCAGAAACCTCCAGAATCCTAAGGCCGGTGCACACAATCAACGCTTTCTAATACTGACAGTTCCAAAAATCAGCAGATTTTTCCCAGAGATTTCGTTTTTGTATTTTCTAATTGCTTTTACAGTTTGAAAAGCAAAACGTATGTTGATGTCTAGTGTTAAAACCTTTTTGTGCTGCTGTATTGTTATTTAATACAATAATCTGAATCAAAATGTTTAAGACAGGTGAAGACGAAACTATTGCAATAATACAACGATGGTGAATAGGAGGCGTCGACCCCGCGGTGCTACGCTCGGCCGCGCCGACCAACGCTTCGCCGAAACTTCGCACTTCACTTTTCCATCACTAGGAAACTCAAAGGCAGCAGCCGTGAAATTACCGTAAACTGACGCAATACCGTCTGCAGACATTGTTCAATCCACTATTGCCAAAAAATCAATAGGCCTCAATACAAACAAAGGCCAAAAATCAGACGTTCGACCCAAAAATCTAATTTAAGCAATTGTCCAACAAATTGATACCAAACAATTTATGCACGATACAAAGTATGGATGAACCATTCTGGTAAACAATAGAGACATTACGAGGTGACCGGATAAGGCAAAGTTTGGTCCATGTCGTGCTGAATCTCAATGAATGCGGGTCTCACCACCACAGCATATACATATTGGCCCATTACATTATGAGTCACGATTGCACAAATCAAACAACAACTTGATACCCACATAAGGTAACAATTGCGTTTTTATCGAAACGAGTGAAAGCTGGAACATCTGGTTGCACACGTTGCCTTATAAATTGCGAATCTTTTAAATCAAATTTAATATTTTAAAAAATAATTTACAATTAATATATGTAGGAAATTGTAGTGTAAATAAACTGTTCAAAGTTGATAAATTACAGTTAGTTGGCGGATGTCACGAAGTCTTTATTTCACTCCGATAGCCTCTGTCTCCAATTACGGATCATTACTCACGCGTTATATTTATTAATAGTACGACGTGCTTCACAAGGTACTAGAAAAAGTAAAATTTAATAGCTTAAAATAAATTGCTTTATTCTACTGGGCTTTATTAGGTCTGGGCCTCAGATTTCTGAATCATGATCCTTTGTCAATTTAATAAGCAAGTAGGTGATCAGCCTGTAGCCTGTCACACACTCCATCGACTTTTGGGTCTAAGGCAAGGCGGTTTCCCCACGGAGTTTTCCTTCACTGTTCGAGCGAATGTAGAATGCGAACTTATACATAAAGTCCATTGGTGCACAGCCGGGGATCAAACCTACGACCTCAAGAATGAGACTCGCACGCTGAAGCCACTAGGCCAACACTGCTGCTATATATTATTCTACATTTAAAAATTAATATAGCTTTAAAAATTACACTTTTATCTTAATTTATGCAGTAACTAGCTGTTCGCTGCGGTTTCAAACGCGTTAATTAAGAAGCGTATATCTGTTGCGGAATTATTTAAAAACTATGATCTCTTAAAATATTGAAATCAAATAAAGTTAAGGGCAATTACGTCCGGTTTCTTTACATAAAATGTTAGTACTCGTTTTAAAAAAACAGCTGTCTTGCATTACTTAGCGTATTTAGAAACCGGGTGAGAGAAATTTTCGTATCATTCTTAACTAGAAACATTATCTTATCAAGTCCTTAAATCGATTTCAGATTCCGATTATGCGCATTAAGTAAACAAAGTGCGCCGTACTTCTTTACAGCCAAGAAAGACGCAATTACAACCAACGAGAATGGACAGTAATGCAATAATCAAATATTTATTGGGTATAACTAACGTGACCAGACAGGACTGTCCCTTTTTCCAATTACGAATCCCGGTGTTCCCAAAATGAACTGTGGGACGCAAAATTGTCCCGTTTACAGAAAATTTAAGCAGCATTATAAAAAAAACATGCCAAGAATTTCATTCTTATTTGAAATCGTCACCAAATTTGTTCTTCTGATAAATATAAATATAACCAAACATTCTGGGTATATATATTTTGTGATTCGTAACTTTTAAGCCAACAAAAAATGTGTTTTTTTTCATAGACTACTTATTATTTGACCTAAATAAAACCAATGTCCCGTTTTGAGTCAAAGAATAAATGGTCACTTTAGGTATAACTTAAACTAGCGGACTCAATTTCCGCACTTATGCTCATTTGTTCCGTTGTGCGTTAATCCTGGATAATTAAACCATCCTAGCTCCTTCCAGAAGCTCAAAAGTTTCCTTTGCAGGCTTCACGGAGCGACCTAACTCAAACGAATTAATTACTCTATGTGATTTCAAAACAATTGAACATAACGAAAAAGTACTCGGTCAATGAACCCTTCGCAAAAACATCATCTATTGTGGATGTGCGTTGCACGGATTGCGTGCATGACATATTTTAATGATAGCTAGGAGAATAGATTACCGGATAAGGTAGGCTTATTTGCCTTGCATTAAAACGAGTTACGAAATGTCTGTAGTGAATTCTATAAATAAACTGTAAAGATGTACGCTATTCCAAGATACGTAAGTTAACAAACAGTTTAATTTACGTCGGCAACGCACTTGCGAGCCCTCTGGCAATGTGTTACATTAAATTTTAATATTATTTATTGTTGTTTGTATTATCATTGTTTTTTGTACTTGTTTTAGCTGGTCGTGTCCGCATGTTGTAGGGACGGCATTCCTTTTCATGTGTGTGAAGATATAACAAATTGACACTCATTCTTGTATGTGTGTCAATTTGTTGTATCATGTGTTTGTCCTTATTTTGTGGTTCAATTAAGTAAAACGGATAATTGATAGAAGCACATATTTAAAGCGATAAAATCTTTATAAGTCATCAACACTTGTTCGTTGTTTTGAGGAAACGTGTCTTTAATGTAACATTTTACGCATGTCAGGCACATATTGCTTATCACCTACCTGCGTTTAAATAATCAAACAAATATATGCAATAAAATAGCAAGACTTATAAAATGTTATAACAACATTTGATTATTCCAGGAAATAAGTCTGAGTACTTTTTCTAACTAGAAGTAACTAATAATAAAAGTTTTTACACATACATATGATATCAAAGTCTATATATATCATATTTGGCAGATATAAGTCAACGATTATCTAGTTGATAAAAGGGCCTGGGACTAGTGCTAGACAGGCTACTTCTAATTAATTTGCGATATTTGTTTTAAAATAAGTGTTGTTTGATGGTTTTTTACGCCGGCTATTTCTCTCGGCCTACACCCTCTGTCTTCTTTGCCGATGAGTAGGGATGCCTACAAATTCAAATTTAATGACGTGGAATAAGTGATACATGTATCTTATGTTCCATAATAAACATATTTTATTTTTATTTTTATTTTATTTTATATAAATACAATAATGGTTATATTAAAAATGCCCTCATCGTCCACTCTAAAGTAAAATATGCAGTATTATATCCAAAACTCGACCGGTCTGATGGCAGTACAATAGCGGAACGCAAATATCGGCAATACAAACAACAAGAACAAACACTGTCTGGGAAATTTCAACCTGTCCATGGAGATATTTAAATGAGTGTAGTATTTAACTAGTGGCTTTAGTGTCGGAGTCTCATGAGGTTGTCCCCAGCTGTGCACCAATGGACTTTGTGGGCTCGTACGATGAAGGAAAACATAGCGAGGAAACCAGCATGCCTAAGACCGAAAAACTTGACGGCGTTTGACGAATAAATTAAGTTAAAGTATATTTAAAGTTATATTAACTTTTAAATGTAGAATAATATAACAGCAGTGTTGGCCTAGTGGCTTCAGCGTGCGACTCTCATCCTTGAGGACGTAGGTTCGATCCCCGGCTGTGCATGGACGTTCTGTTTATGTTCGCATTTAACATTCGCTCGAACAGTGAAGGAAAACATCGTGAGGAAACCGGATTAATTTAGACTCAAAAGGCGGCGGCTGATCAACTACTCGCCTATTAGATTGACAAATGATCATGAAACATCCAAAAATCTGAGGCCCAATCCTAAAAGCCACTAGTTTTATTTAGTATTTAAAACAAATGGTTCATACTTGAAGCTCATATAACACAAACTTCGTAAAGAAATCTTTTTGTATTTGATGTCGAGTTATTAAATTCTTGTCTCATTTGGCATCTTCGCTATGCTCCTTTATAAGTCTCCTTATATATTCACTTCCTGTCTAAAGTTGTCTGACTAACTTGCTGTAATTTTTGTTGCTTCTATATTAATTTCTTATTTTGATCTCTCTTATCAAGTTATTAGTTGTTAACAAGACTTTTAAGAGTTGGTTTAGCTATTGGAGCACGGCCTGTTTATTATATTTGCATTTTTATTGATAACTGTAACACTGAATAACATTGTATAACTTATATTTCATATTTATGCCGGAAATGTTATTGTAAGTGTCTTGGAATTGTTTTGTGAAAAATTTAATATGTACTTTGTATTTTTGTGGTCGACAAAGACCTTGTTATAAGGCGACCTTATATAAATAAACAGACTCACAGTTTGTATTATCATATTATTTTTTCTTACAACCGTCCCCCCAATAGTGCTAACTTATATACTTGAACGGCCCCTAAGCCTCTTTTCGGTACCTCAATCTTTCAAAGCTAGAATACTAATTTATACAAATCCACAACACACATCGAGAACCGTCGCAACAGCAAATGTTGCTAAGTTATTCGTTAAATCATAGCGCCTCAAACATGACACAATTCCGATTAGCAACAGATTAGCTTCCACTAAATAATTAGTTACATAAAATTCCTTGCATTAATTAGTAAGCAAAGTTAGATAATGACGAGCACGCGACCGGAGAAGGGGCTAATGCAAAGTTGATCGCTGCACCGAAACGAGTGCAATGTACATTCTACGGGACTGTTCATGTGTGAATAGTTGCTTCTGATAGATCCGAATTAATATCAAAGACAAGGAAATCTGACATAACCCATAAAGGGTTGTAGCAGCCACTGGTTTTAATTTATTATTAGTAATTACATCGAAGAGGAAAAACGTGAATGAAATTACTAGATCACGGTACTTTAAAAATCTTAAACTTCAACAAATCCTTTCTCCCAATGATGTAGGTAATGATTGTTTAAAACTCTTAATTACAATTTACGTAAAGCATAGATAAGAAAAAGTTAAATATGTAACGTAATAGAGCAACTTAACACAAAATTTATATCACCAAAAATTATGACGCGCTCAGTGGGCGCTCATACTTTAAAAATGGAAACACAAAGATGCATCAATCAAATAGAATATTACCAAATTGATTGAAAATGCGATACATTTTCGTATTGAAATATACGAATACTTATACCGTAAACTTTCTAAGGTCTAGGTTTTGAAAAAAAAGGTTTTTTTTTTCGCATTTTTTAGAAAATGAGATATATGACACCCC